GTAAGCACCCATTCAAACCCATCCTCCACTTGTTTAAACTTCTGGGAAATTGAAAATTGGCCTATTAACTCTTCCTGACCTATGAGTACTTCATTCTTCCACATTGTGACAACACCCCCCCGCAGACCCCCAAGAAGGCAGAGCCGCCCAACTAATCCCCCTGCCTCTCCAGACACTCCTTGCCCACCTAATGTCAAAATCTGTTCTCTTGGTCTCCTGCGAGAGTACCACATCTGGGTCTGTTTTCTTGATGGTCTCTTTTATTACTGTTCTCTTCCTAGCACTTCCCAAACCTCTGATATTCCAGCTTAAGATCCTCATCTAACTATCTTCTTTCCCCTTAGACCCTCCTGCCCTCAGTTATTCCTCTTCCTTCTTTCTCCTTTRAYCTTCAAASYTCTATCTCCTCCCACCTCCTTTAGCAGCCTTTCAGCCTCACTCACTCTTCTCCTTTTAGATTTTGCTTCTTCTTTCTTTGTTTTCAAAAATACTTTGAGAGCATTTGGATCTTTCAATTTGCACCCCGGTTTCTGTACAAAACCCGCCACAGAATCCTCACTACTTACATCTCTTACACTTGACTTTCTACTTCCCTCCCCTGTTTTTGTCTCCCCCCTTCTATCTCCTTCCTCCTCAGAACCCTCTACTCTACTCCCTTTGGCCCTTCCTTTTGACTGTTTCCACCACTGCTTCATTTAACAGACACTCTAAGATTTCTAGGATTCTTTTCTTTTCTTTTTTTTTTTCCTTTTTTGTTTCTCCTTCATTCCCTACTTCTCTCTCCTGACCCTCACTGTCGCTTCTATTTTCTCTCATCTCATCCCCCCTTCAAGGGCTGCAGCCTCTGGGTTGGGTAGATTGGGAGTGCTGGAGTTGGATACAAAAACAGTCTGGCCTTGACAAGGAATGTGGGTTCCATCTGGTTCCAAGGCTTGGTTTTGATTAGTTAGCCTTTTCGTCACCTCTGTTAAATCTCTTACCCACCTGTTTATGACTCCCCACTTTGTTCCTGTATTGCTTTTGAGAAGTTTCGAGGGATCCCTTACAAAAAACCTGTTTGACAAGGAGATTTTGAGATTGAGCTTCTGAGTGTGAGTTAGAGATTCCACCCCCAGAGTTCGAAATGTGTTCAACGACAACAATGTACGGCTCTTCCTCAGCACAATGAGACGTTACCGCACCTGGTCTTTGTGAGAACAATATATCCAGATCAAAAGTTGCAGCAACTTCTTCCTCTGAAAACTTCTCACCCAAAACACTGCCTAAACTGGACTGGCAGTGTTTGGTCTGTCTTGTTCCTCCATTTCGCAGTCCACCCAGCCCTCATCAAAACCATCCTTTTCCTCGAGATGAGCTCGATCGTACCTGGGGTTTGGTCTGTCTTGTGATGTTCGTCCTTCCCTGGGTGTTTCAGGAACTGCGCGAGGCACCCACCGGAGAGTACTTGAGCTTTGCTCTGGCTGCCTAAGATCACCTACAGCGCCCTCGTCCAAAATTTTCAAAGAAGAAGATAGACGATGTCTATCATCTATAGTCCCCAACCATCTCCCCCGACCCACGTGCTCACTTAAACAATCACGTGGGTAGGGATTCCCCCTTCTGGCTGAACCGATCGGTCCACCCACCGGTTCAGATGACCCGGCCTGCAGAAATCTCCCTTTCTTAACCATGTCAGCGAAGGTATCTTGTCCCTTCGAATTACCAGCTAATTCAAAAAATTTTGAATTTATTTCTTTTAATAGGTTTCGTGGCTTTTGGTTCTCTCCCACCGACTTTTCAGCTTCCTTTCTAAGCTGCCTCCTATTTTCAGTCTTACCCTCCAGCTGTAGGCCCCTAGTAATCCAACCCTCCACTTCAGCATCGTCTTCTACCTTGGGTCTTCGACCCCACAGTTCTGCCTCCACCTCTGAAACTAACCATACTTTTAAACCATGTACCTTCAGCAAGAACCTCTATTGTTCTTGGGAGCGATTCCGATCTCACCCTGACCATCCTAACCACAGTGGCACGAAAATCTTGCAGATGGACTTCCTCCATTTCTCCACCCAGCAGCTTCACAATATTTCCCAGATTTGCTTCATTCCAGAGATGGAAGGGAAGACCTACCAATTTGAACAGGAAACTTCCGCAGACATGTTCCATCTCATTACACAACGGTTTCCAGTTTTGCATCTGAATCAAACCTTCTTCACATTCAAAAGATGTAAATCCCTTGATTTTTTCATCGTCAATTCTCAACACTGCCTTCCTGTCTGAGAATGGTTTCAGAGCAACCTCGGACTCCAGCTTCAAGTTGTGCACCATTGAGTTTAGGACCTTCCTCCAATCTTGTATTGCTTTGCTCGTTGAGATCACCATTCTTTGCTCGTTGAGATCACCATACCATTCTCGTTGACGAGCGACTCGTCAAGGTACCAACTAGTCGGACTCCTCGTCATCACGTATCATTTAAATAATTAATAATTATTTATATTTTGGGTTCAACTATGATATGGGAAAGATATGATATTTGAAAAATTTTGACCAATCAATTGGTATCACAAATGTGGTAGCTAATCAAGTGTTATTTATCAAATTCATGGGTGGATTTTGATTGGTCAAAACTCTTCTGATACATCATAGATTTTTCCTTATATTTTATATACTACTTTTAATATTTTTTTTTACGATACAAAAAAAAACAATAATTAATTTCAGCTAGGGTTGTTCATCAAATTGGTGAAACCGACCAACTCGACCCAAGTTGGTTAGTTTCCTAGTATTTCCGGTTGGCCTTGGTTCAACAATTTCCCAATCGACCATGTTGGATCAGTTTCGCTTTGGCCATTTGTAAATTGATCAAAATCGAACAACCCGACTATATTTCTTAGTCTAAAATATTTTATATCATAAATTTATTTTTTAATAATGTCACTGTAATTTTTTAAAATTTAAATTTAAATTTGTAAGTTCAAATCTTTTGAACTGACCCACCAAACCGAAAATTGACCCAAACCGATACAACCTGAGTTGGTTTGTTTTCACTAATGGGCAGTCAGTGTCGGGTGACCAACTCCCCATCCCGACTTAAGTTGATTTGGTTGGCCAAACAGCCTACAATTGAACCAAACCAACCTGTGAAAACTCCTAATTTTATCTAAACTAATAGTTTAATCTCTAATAAATAACAATAGTTTAATCTCCAATAATTATTGAAAATATATTGATAATGAAAATACAATAAATAACTAATAAAAATACAATAATTACAAAAATACAATAAATACAATAAGTACAACAAATTAAATTAAAAAAAGTTAAATAACAGTAGTTTAATCTCCAATAATTATTGAAAAATTTTTCGTTAAATAACAAAACAAAAATAGATTTATACGTAATTATTAAAAATATATTTATCATAATAAAGCAATAAATAATTAATGAAAACACAATAAATATTTATTTTTAGTATATATAAAGATATAATAAATATAGATTAAGATTTTAAAATTATTATTAATAAATATTATTTTTTTGAAAGTTATTTTCTAGAATTATTAATTGATATAAGTGAAATTAGTTATCTACAATATTATTTAGTTATTTAAAAATATCATTATTTAATTTATTTAATTTTTAAAATATTCATTATTTATTGAATTTAATAATCTATAAAATTATAATTTATGCTATTATTACCTAATTTCGTTTTTAATTTTGTAAAATATTAAATTATTATTAATTTGAATATTATGTTATAATTAATTTTCTAGTTTTAGGAAATTTTTTAGATTTATTACACAATTTCATTATTTTAACTATTTAAAATCTAGTTATTGTTAAATATTTCGTTAGTTAAAATATTTAGTTACTTAAATATTTAAATAATATATAAAATATTTAACATTTTTTGTTATTTGAATTTTATTTATTTTAAAGTTATTACATAATATTAAATATTTTGTTATATAATTATTTAGCTATTTTTCGTATTTTTTATTTAAGATATTTAGTTATTTCAATATGCAAATAATATTTGATTTTTAAATGTTAATTTTATATTATTTAAATAACATTTAAATTGAATAATCCGGAAAACTATAATTTATATGGTTAGTACATAATTTCGTGATGAATTTTGTGAAAATATAAAATTACTAATAATTTGCATATTATACCTATTATAATTATTTTCTTTTGTGTTTTTAATAAATATTTTAGAAGTTATTATATAATTTCGTTAGAATATTTAAATAACTTTTAAATTTGTTAATTCAAACTTTAGATAGATATAGATTAAAAGTAGGGGAGAGGATAAATAGGAATTAGAGATATTTTAGGAGAGAAACTCTACTAAATTAGAGATAATTTAGGAGATAAATAGGAATTAGAGATAATTCAGGAGATAAATAGGAATTAGAGATAATTTAGGAGATAAATAGGAATTAGAGATAATTCAGGAGATAAATAGGAATTAGAGATAATTCAGGAGATAAATAGGAATTAGAGATAATTTAGGAGAAAGTGGGGGAGGTAGTTTTGGAGAGGATATTATTTAGGTTATTGGGAACGTGTGGGAGAGAGATTTTAGGTAATTTTTTATGGGGAAGGAGAGCATCTCGTTGGTTTAAAAAATGACATGGAATAAAAAAATAAAAAATTCAAAAAATGGAGAAAATTTCTAGACTGTCGTGTTTTAGTGTATATATATATATATGTGTGTGTGTGTGTGTAGATTTGCGCAACCCAACGTAACAATAAACAGAAAATAAAAAGACCAAAGTGCCCCTGCGGCGCATATTACATAGTTATTAACGGATTTAACAAGTTTCATTATCTACTTTTTCTGGAAAGATGACACATCTTTCATTTTTTTGGATGCGTGTGTTAAAAGGAACCTTCCTCACCTATTGAACATATGAAATGATTCCTGGTGTTTCTTTTGTTCTTTTGTTTCTGATATTGTTGAGAATCATTTTTATTTTATAAGTGTTGTTTTGATATACAATCATTGTGTGCAGTGTTTCAAGCAAGATAAAATATTTGGCATCACCAAGTTCAAGTTTATTTTCACACGAATCCTTGCATGCATTGTTTGATACGGGGCCTTCTCAGAATGCGCATCGTTGCAGGGGAGCGCGATTCATTGTTAGAGCTGATACTGTAAGTATATTTCTGGCTTTCCTTTTATCAATTATCTGCTTGTTCTATTCCTTTTTTTATTTTTTTTATTTTTAGTGGAATGCTCATTGACTGTTCATCTTATAGTCTTAAGTATTAACATTCTTTGCATACAGGACTACTATTCTGTCCTTGGGGTGTCAAAAAATGCCAGTAAATCTGAAATAAAAAGTGGTAAGTATGCCTAGTCCATCTTTTTTAGAGCCCTATTGTTATCATGATCATAAAAGTGGATTAGTATTCTGTCCATCTTTTTATGCTTTGTAGCTTTCTGATGTAAAATTGACCTTGTTTTCACACAACCTCTCTGCACTGAGCTTCCCTTTATTAATCAGGTTTTCTATTGAGTTCACCTATTTTGATGTGTGATTCCACCATATGCCAATTTTGGTAATAGAAGTGCTTACATTTGGATTTGTCATTTGTCATTTATACAACACTTTTAGTACAATGTCCAAGGGCTAATTTTATTACAAGGGGACTTGATATATACAGTTGCAAAAATGCCCCAGTTGGGCTATATACAAACATATGATAACATACAACTGAAGCATATTAGTACAATAGAACAAGTAATAACACATTATGTACAGGTTTTATTACAATTTTGTCCACAGTTGTGAGTTATTTACTACAATCCAGGCCCATGGCAGTATCTGTCGAGAGAAACCAGAAAGCTGGTGCAGGAACTATGAGCTCACTTTTAGTGGACAAGAAGAGAAGCAAAAAATTTTGCAGATACTCTAGCCAAACAAGAGGCGAATGGGGATCAATTACTTTGCTGATTGACCAACTTATAGCCTTGTGCATAGTACTTCAAAGGGTATATAGGGGTTATGTGTCTGACAGTGCTTGGAGGCCATGTGATGCCTCAGCATCCTATGTCTTTGTAAATTAAACATTTTTATCATCAATAAAAGTGAACAGTTACCAATAAAAAAATCCAGAGATCTGTCTCCCTCAAGTATTGAATATATTCCAATAAAACCTGAAAGATTTGTTGCTCTCAACTTGTGTCAGGGAGAATCCTAATTATTATTGTTGTGATATATTGTTGATTTGAGAAAACAATAACAAACTTAGCAGTATGTAATGTATTGGACTACCAGACTAGGTTGTGTTGTTGTGGTTGGTCACTTGGTTGGGCTTAGACTAGGGGTAGGGGTGGCAATTGGGCGGGTTGGGTTGGGTTTGGTTTGGGTCGAGTTTCAATCCAACCCATCTAACCCGTCAACCCATTAATGACCCAGTTATATAAAATTAAATGGGTTGGGTTCAACCCAAACCCGCTTTAGCCCAATCCAACCCGCCCAAACCCATTAATCTTATATTTATGGACTTAAAAAAGAAGCTCTCTCTCTCTCTTAACAAATAAGTTAGTTGTAGCTTGGTGGTTATTGTAGTTATTATTTATATCCATTTGACTATGTTCGAATTCGGGTTTGACCGAACCACTTAGGTTCAAACTGGTCAGACCAACTTAAACCACTTAGGTTCAAGGGTGGTTGAACCGTTTAGATCTGGATCAATCTGGCTGGACTGGTTCAGCCAATGGTGGATTGACTTGGACCGGACCATATCAGGTTTGTGCATGGGTTCGACCGGATTCGGGTCGGACCGTGTGCATATTGGTCGGATGGACGGTCCAGATCAGGCAAAAGTGTGCGGAGGCTGAATCATCCCGTCCAAAACTGTTTTGAATTCGGGTCGACCCAAATCGACTTGTACTGGGTTGGGTCGGAGTGTGTGAATATTGGTTGGGCCGGACGGCCCAAAATGAACAGAGCAAGCGGCACTGAACCATCCCACCCAAGGCCTATTTTGGATTTGGGTCAACCTGGATCAGTAWATGTTGGATCGGGTCAGACCGTGTTGAACTGGTCCGGACTTGGGTCAAATTGATTTGGATTTATGTTGGGTGAAGTGTATTGATTCAAGACAAAACTAAATTATTAATAGAAAATTAATGCATTAATTATAAATTATTTAATTCTAATGAAGAAAATTAAAAAAAAAGGCTAAGGAATTAATACTTATGTCTATAATGGTTAACCCAATGGTTATCCACARTCCAACCCAACCCAACCCATTTAAATGGGTGGGTTGGGTGATGGGCTGATCACACAACCCGTCAAGTAAATGGGCGGGTTGGGTGGGTTCAGCGGGTTGGGTTAAAAATTGCCACCCCTAACAAGGGGGAAAACTTTAATTGGTATGCTTGACAAGCATGGGATTGAAGGGTCTGTCCTGCTCAACTCCTTTTCCTTTCTCTTTCTGTTGGTGCACTATTGGGTTTAGGTCACTTGAAAAACTATCCAAGTATAGCTGTTGTTTCTTTTTATCATATCTTGTGTATGTTGGCTTTGCCTCTTTCTTGGTGAAGCTTTGTATCTAACCCTGTTATGATGTTCTGGGTGATTATAATCTCTTTTTTGGCAAAGCTCTGTTATGATGTTATGGACAATTCTATCTTCTTCAGATTTTGATTATTAAAAATGTTTTTTTGGATCTTGTTAATAGTAAACAAAAGGATAAAAAATCTAATTACCCTTATTGTTTACAAGAAATTAATTTTCTTATAAAGATTTTATATTTCTAGGAGATGTCTTGTTCTAAGGCTGTCAATCTTCATGAGTTAAGTTCACAATCTAATAATTAAAAAAGTGTATTACATTGGTCCTGAACCAGAGCAGTGGGTGGTTTCTCAGATAATCCCCTTAAATCTATGGGATTTCACATCAGAGAGGAACACAATTCAATTTGGCACATCTTTAGGACTTATGTGGACCTCCACTAGGGGTGGCAATTTTTCAACCCAACCCGCTAACCCACCCAACCCAACCATTAATTGATGGGTTGGGTTGTATCCATTTAATTCTGGGTTACTACAGGTTGGGTAACCCAATAAAGGGTGACTTAATGGTTTGGGCGGGTTGGGTCATGGGTTCCCAACGGATAACCCATTACCTTTGATGATATTTTGACTCTCTGGTTCCAAACCCTGAATTATTCTCACACTATACCTCTCTCTCTCTCTCTACAATTTTATCAGCAGACCCCCCACATTTTCCCAACCAGCATATCATCCATCATGTGTGCCATTGGGATCTTCTCCATTACCCATTTTCAAGTCTTTATCGGTGAATTTGAGCCATTTCACATGAAGAAGAGATGAACTTACCATATCTTGTATTGTAAGGAGGAGCCAATGGATGCACTGCCACCATAGATAAACAATTCAGCTATAGTACCTCTATTTTCATCCAAGAATTGGAGTAATAGGATCGATGAGCTAAAGCTTGGATAATTTCGAGACTTGTATATCAACACCACCAATCAAGACCTCATCTGTAGTAAAAACTGGAGGGGGTAAAAGGCCCAATGAGCCAGAGCTCAGATAATTCTGTGGCTCATTGTCTGTGATTGGTGGGAACTCTCTGACTTCACGACTGTGGACAGGCATAACTTATCTCTTGTTTCTCTCAAAAATTGAGCCCAGAAAGTGTTTGATGAAATATCCCCAAAGATAGAATTAATAACTAAACTCTATACGTTGTGTGCTAGCTTTCATTGTTTCCTTATTTCTTGCTATCTACAATTTGCTTTTCTTTTCTTTTGCAATTTTATTATTTATTTTCATTTATTTTTGTGTTTTTTATAATTCGTGTTATATTTTCCCACAATTTCTATTATCTTTTTGTATTTTTTTTTCTTTATTTTGTTATGCTTTTTGTAATTTTGTTAGCTTGTTTTTTCATTTTTTGTGTTTTCTATAATCTTTGTTTTACTTTTCTTGTAATTTCTATTTTCTTTTTGCATCTTTCCATGCTTTAATGAATTAAAAATTAATGGGTTGGGTGGGTTGGGTTGGGTCAAGGCAGGTTTGGGTTCAACCCAACCCATTTATTTTTCTCTAAATGGGTTATTAATGGGTTGACAGGTTAGATGGGTTGGGTTGAAGCTSAACCCAAACTCAACYCATCCAAACCCGCCCAATTGCCACCCCTAATAACCACCATTTGTATCTAATTGAGAATCTGCACAATTCTTCAAACTTTCCTTGATTTTCTTCAGTCCTTCCAAAATTTATTTTTTCTTAGAGCAAAACTGTGATTATTCTTTGGTGGATTTTTTAGAAATTGGTGAAAGCTTTTTAAGTTATTACTTTAATGAATTTATTTTTTAACGAGTATTAAAGAAGTTTTAATGATGTGCATATGAGACTGAAGAGATGTATAGAAAAGACTCAAAACTAAAACACTTCACAGTGTGACTATGCTTCTCTCTACTCATAAAACATTGGATCTTTTAATCCAGTTCGTTTATATCCACAGAGATTCTATGATTGCATTTCTAAACTATTGAAAGTCCTCCATTTGTGTTCTCCTTAAACATCCCTGAAAAGTAAAAAAGGGACCATGGACAAATGATATAATCTGTACTCCCTACCAAAACTGAAGGCCAGGAAAGAAATGCTTCTCTCATAGAGTGGGGACAAGATCATGAGACCTAAAAGAAAAAGCAAAAGAGCTCCTAAAACAAATGAAAGTGCTCTTGCATTGTATAGCTTCTAATTGTACATGGGTTATTGTAACAAATTCTGATGATTAATAGTTAAAATACAAAATGCTTTATCTTTTCAATAAAAACCGTTGCTGGAAAAAAAAAAGAAAATGTTATTCATCAACTTTTTCTGAAGATCTTYACATAGCATAACAATTTTGTATTTGTATCACCTCATCATGTTGATGGTYAATGGTGATCACCTTAAAAGGAAATGAAATACATGAATTTCTCAACTGCGGGATTGATTAACTTCCCTCAGATACAACTGGAGTCAGCACCCAGCAGTCTGTATATTCCCTTTACTAAATCTATCTTGAACCTTTTTTTTTTGTGTTTGAGTATATTTGGTTTAATATCAACTGATTTAAACTCTTCTGGTATTTTTTCCTTTTTGTATTCATGAGTTAGTTACTTGCTATTTTACCTTTTTCTCATTTGATCTTGTTGGTAATTTACTTTTTGATGTTAAGCTTATCGGAAGCTGGCTAGGAATTATCATCCAGACGTCAACAAGTAAGTTGAATTGCTACAATTGCCTGTTGTGCAGTTGTGCTCATGTATCCTTTTTTTCTTTTTCGATCAGCAACATGATCAAAAGTGCTTATATATCTTCTTATACAGTTGTGTGCATTCATCTTGTGATGTGTGAATTATTTTATAGAGAAATCGACAATCTCTACTTGGCTGTCCATTTTGATGTTTCTATTTATGGTATAGCCATCAAGAATATTGCTTCAGGTTATATGAACAAGGTATCTCAACCCCACTGCCTCACGAAAATAAACAAAATAAAATAAAAAAGGAAGAAAATGAAAAGGTTTGGGTATCTTGTYCAGTATGCATTAGGTGGTAATCACATTGTTTTCTAAGGAAAACATTTGACTGCATTTCTATTGACTTATTTGTCATTAACCATCTTGTTACAATTCAATAACATGTTTGACCTTTTTGTTTGTAAGCTTTGCTCTTTCTTGTCATTAACCACCGTATTACAATTCTTTTGCCATCATTTATGCTATTTTTCCCATATTCATCAAGTTCTTGCATTGGTATCTTGTAACTTTTAATTCTTTCCTTTGCATGCATGTACTTGTGTGCATGGTAATTGCTATATTTTATTAGTTATTTGCTAGGTGTGGGCATACTGTAAATTTTTTTCAACAGATTGGGAAATAATTTCATTACTAAAATGGCAGAACCTCAAGCAAAAGCATAGCTTCTATAGTATATAGCAAGAGATTGGGACTCTCTAGTTATACAGGAGTGCAGATCTATTATAATTGGGAACTCTCTAATATCTATCTTTTGGATGTGCTCACTTCTGGTTATTGCTCCAACACATACATAATTGGGTCAATGTATTTTCTTTCCTTCTTTGTTAGGTTTTGGTCCAATCCAGGTTCTACCCTAATACATGGTCCAAACTCTAAGGTAAACCTCACCCGCCCAAACCTTGCCAAGCTAAATTGAGAAACAGTTCACGCCTGGGTGGGTTGCATAGGTGGAGCTAAATTGTCATGAGGGTGAGCAATTGAACCTACTTGGCTTCTAAAATCCTTAAGAGGTTATTCACAATTTATGTAAGGTTTAAATTCTTTGTTCAAAATTGATCCAACTCAAATAAAGTTTGTGGGGTTAATTCGAAATATATAAAGTTTTGACCCAATAAAAATAAAGCTTCCGAACTCCATTAAAAGCATGGGGGTACCTCTTGCAATGATTTAAAAGGCGCGCCTCAGGCGTGCCTAGGCGCACAGACGAGGCGCATTTTGGGGTATGCGCCTTGCCCAGGTCCTARGCACACCTCTTTCAAAAGGCACGCGCCTGGTGCGCCTAGGCGTGCACCTGATGCGCCTTGTGCCTTAGCCCAGGCATGCGCCTTTTTAAAATTTTGCGCCTCGAGGGGCGTGCTACAAAGTCGACTCATAGAATCAAGAATGCAATATGTTTTACATCACATTAACTACTTGAAGCAATGCAATTAAGGAAAAAAAAGAGATTGCGGGTTTTACATGCTTGAAAATGCTTTATATGTTTGCTTTTATTTTTAAATTTTCATTTGAATACACTTTACATGTTATGTTTATGTATTTTAATTTTAGATAATAGGTTTTTTAAATCATTTATTTTAAAACTTAAGTTTATATTTTTATTAACATTATTTTTAATATTTTTTAATATTTTTCCTTTTTTTTTTAAATTTTGGCATTTTTTTTGAATTTTTTTTTTGAATTTTTAGCTTTCTTTTTGTAATTTTGTGCCTTTCTTAAAAAGGCGTGTGCCTTGCCTTGCGCCTCAGGCGCAAATTGGCCCTTGCGCTTTTCTTGCGCCTTGTGCTTTTAAAACACTGACCTATTGTAATTTTAAAAAGTTAAGTCATTGTAATGTTTCACATGTGAATGATTAATAATAAATATTTATATATTGATGCTTTTTCCTTTTTATTACTTTAATTTTGGTTGCACCCGCTGACAAAAATTCCTGGCTCTGCCACTGGTGGGTCGGTTAGACCTGAGTTCAGTTGCTAATATTTTTTTGCAGTTTTGTATTTGTATTTTATTTGGGATGTATACTCCAAATTAGAAAATAAAATGAAAAGAAAATATACAGAAGTATCATTGCATAAACATTTATACATGGTGTATATATTTTAGTTTTTCCTTTTCCCTTTTTTCGATTAATAATAGAAACATTATTATGTTCCTGGTTTCATTTTGCAATACAATACTTTACCTTCTTCAAAAAAAAAAAAAGAAACATTATTATCTCAAAAGGGAATTGAAGGGAGATGTACAAGAAATAAATTTCTGATCTCTTTTTGATTACTTTATATTAGACTCTGCGTTCAATTACCTTGCAGATGTGCTATGATCACATGCATTTCTCTCAAAATATATACACCGTCCTATTAGTGGTCTTGTATCTTATAACATTTCTGTTTGCGTAAAGTTTGGAGTATTATTACATATAAAATAATAAGATTATTATGGAGTCTGATAAATATTACATTTTTTTCTTGCTAAGGTCTCAATCACCTTATTGAATATCTAATTTATGTCCATAAAGATCGATCTGTCTATCCTTAACTGTACAAGAGATTCTTTTTGTTCATGTGTCCATGAGAATTGAAGTTGTTTAATACCTAATTTGCCATTAAGATGACATGGCAACCTATCCTTCCATGTATGCATCTTTTCATGACACTAGCCATGAACAAAGCAACAAAGTCAAAGTTGATAATGTCATTCTGTGCTTATTAACTGAAAGACAGGATCGAACTATGAGGCTGGTGAACATTCCTTTTTATTTATTTATGCCATGTCTTCTCTATGCTGCAGAGAACCTGGAGCTGAACAGAAATTTAAGGAGATTAGCAATGCCTATGAGGTAAGGGGCTGTTTTCAGTATGTCTACTATATGAATCTGATTGTGGTTCAGTGATGGCGAGTGGAGGCATGGATGTGTAATGTGGTTAAACTAAGGACAACATGTTCTACAGGTGCTCTCCGATGATGAGAAGCGATCCTTGTATGACAAATATGGAGAAGCTGGGCTTAAAGGTGGTATGGGCATGGGGGTAAGTTTTTACATGCATGGAAAATCATCAATTTTGGCTATTTCACTTTTTTACCCTTAGTTGTATCTTCTCACAGTGAGTATTCTACCATGACAGGATTTCAGCAATCCATTTGATCTGTTTGAATCATTATTTGAAGGCATGGGTGGTATGGGCGGAATGGGCATGGGAGGCAGGGGTTCCAGAAATAGGGCAGTGGATGGTGAAGATGAGATATACACTCTTGTCTTGAATTTCAAGGAAGCAGTTTTTGGAGTTGAAAAAGAGATTGAGATAACCCGTCTTGAGAACTGTGGCACCTGTAATGGTTCAGGTGCAAAACCAGGGACCAAGCCTACGCAATGTAGTACATGTGGCGGCCAAGGTCAGGTTATCTCATCAGCTAGGACTCCATTGGGTATCTTCCAGCAGGTAACTACCTGCTCAGCCTGTGGTGGGACTGGTGAGTTGTCCACTCCTTGCAATACCTGTGGCGGGGATGGGCGTGTAAGGCGGACAAAGCGGATTAGTTTGAAAGTTCCAGCTGGTGTTGATTCTGGTAGTCGGCTGAGGGTTCGATCAGAAGGTAATGCTGGGAGGAGAGGTGGAGCCCCAGGAGACCTGTTTGTCATGATTGAAGTTCTCGCAGACCCTGTACTGAAACGTGATGATACAAACATTCTCTACACCTGTAAGGTGTCATACATTGATGCAATATTAGGGACAACAATCAAGGTTCCGACGGTAGATGGCATGGTTGATTTAAAGATCCCACCTGGTACCCAGCCAAACACGACACTAGTGATGGCAAAGAAAGGTGTTCCATTTCTAAATAAAAGCAACATGAGGGGTGACCAATTGGTCCGTGTGCAGGTTGAGATCCCAAAACGGTTGAGTGGTGAAGAAAGGAAACTCATTGAAGAACTTGCGAACCTAAACAAGGCTAGGACCGCAAATAGTAGGAGATAGTAGTGAGGATACCTTATGTTGACCTTTATCATTCACTTCTCCTATGATTCCTTATTCTTTGTCTCTCATGGATGTGAGTAAGTTGTTCATGCAATATGCCGTGGGAAAACTTGACTTATAAATTTCTTTATCAGGCTACGTGGAGCAGTAAAGAATGTAGTTGTAGGTAAAACGTTTGTGTTTGATTTTGTCCTATAAATAGATGTGTTTTAAGGGAAGATAGAAGAAAGAGACTAGGTGATAGTTCTCTTTTGTACTTGTTCTACCTTTTATAATTCCTCACTTTTTCTGATGACTTGTTAGTTGAAAAGAATATAAAAATCAAGCAAATATTTATCAATTTGAAAATCATTCATTCTTTAAAATACAAGGTCAAGTTTGATAATCTCTAGCTTTATGCCGGCCAGATAGATGCTGATATGGCAGTTCTTTTTGTTTTAGATTCAGGTTGAAAGGAGTAAAACCTTATATTTTGTATATATTTGTATACTCTTTAGCCTCAAGGAACAAAACGATAGATATCGGTAAAGGCTCCCTTGGGTTGTATGATTGCCCCGGAACAGGGCTTTCATCTTTGTTTGGGTCACTTCTGTGATGTCTTGCCCAGTAGCTTCTATTCTTCAAACTTCTAGGCGACAAGGGAAAAAGAGGGGATTCTGCCACTAAAAGTGTGGAATCTATCGAACCAAAAGAAACAAACATAACAAACGGATTACGTTGGTTCTGGTTCTGTGGCTTTTTCCTAATTAAGAATTGGATTGAGATTGGTTCTTGTTGTTTCAAACTGAAGATTTGAATCAATTTTATATTAATATGGTTAATAATATTTGAAGGCCTCGTTTTCTTGATTTTTGTTATATTTTATGTCTAAAAGAGTACATTTTATAGATTGTATGTAAGATAATTTTGATTAAAAATACTTCTTTTATTAACTTAGTCATTTTTTTTTATAGTTACATTATGAAAAACAAAAATTTTAAGTTGTTATTATCATAGGTGATTATAGACTCGAGTCTAATCGAACCAGCCCTGATTGTTCTGATGGGGCTCATGGAACTGATTAATAATTGGTTCGAGATTCGTACAGCCTGCTCCAAATCAGATCCGACCCATTGATAACACTACTTCCTCACCTAACCTTCTTAGGATTCTTTGGGACATCCGCACATTGAGACTAAGCTATAAGAACATAATGAATTATGAATTGTGAATCATCAAACAAAATGAATTATGAGAACCTCACAAGGCAGAGGAAGGCTGTCGACTGACGTCCTTTCCTGGGAACAATTAGGACATTAGCAACTGTTGTATGGCTGTTTGCCATCTGATTTGCTCCTCTGGATACGGTGGGTCCTGTGATTTACACAGTGCTCTTTTTGTTTTTTGGATGTGGCTACACACCACATTAATGGTAGACTTGCCGGCAGATTTACCAATAAAAAAAGGGTTCAACTATGATATGGAAAAGATATCATATCTGAGAATCTTTTGACCAGTCGACTGGAATCATAAATCTGGTAGCCAATCAGGTGTTATTTATCAAAATTTATGGGTGGGTTTTGATTCATCAAAACTCTTCTCATACCTATCTTTTTCGCATGATAGATTTTTCCTAAAAAAATAAAGCTCAGTAGTAGTTAGTGGCAAAGTTTAAGGAAAAAAAAATGGTGGGGAAGGGAAAGGAGTATAAAATAAACTGGGGTGAGAGAGGCTCGAACTCTCGACCTCAGGATAACTCAGAAGCTATGAGACCTACGCGCTAGCCAACTGCGCCACCACCCCTTTGATGCTTTCGTTGTTACACCAAATAATAACTAGTATTTAAGTGTGCACATGTAATGTCAATTTTTGTTGATGACGATATGAAATAATATGCTTCAATTTTTTTTTAACATTTTTATATTTATAAAATTATTTTTATTTGTCACAATTATTTTTGTTTAATATGATAAATATACATTATTAGAGATGTGTCCAAAATATTCTTTTACGAGTTCTTATTTTTTGTATTTTTATACTTTTGTGTGTTTTCATCTTTTTAATTTTTATTATTATTTACTTATGAAATCAATGGTTGGCACATTTAATCCAAAAAGTTGAATTATTGACTTCCAAAAAACAATTCCATTTTTTGGGTTGGTTTTAAATTTATATTTTATTTTTGTTATTAATAAAAATAATTATTCTTTGTCACACTTATTTTTTTAATATGATTAATTATTACAGAATTAAATGAAAGAATGGAGTTAATATCCTAAATAGAAGAATTAATGAGAAGGAATTGAATAAGGAGAATAAGATTCAATGAATGTTAATGAGAGTTAATAATTTAAATATAAGACTTGAGATTTGAATGGGAAAAGTGGTTCTTCAAAATACATTTCTATCTTTATAATATTATAGAGGGGCCAAATTCATACATTGGGGTATTTTAGTTCATAAAAATTCCACACTCTCATTTACATTTTACACTTTTAGTAGTAGTATAGACATAGATATTAGTATACATGTCATTTATAAGACTAATAAGAAAATGAAAGATGTATTAGCTATAGCCTCTCCATCTTAAAGAGGCATATATACAGAATTCAGTCTGCTTTGTGGTCATTTGGGAGTGCTTATTTGGATAAGTGATTATCCTAATAAGTATTCATAAATGTTTGCTGAAAAAAATCACTTCTTTCAAATGGGGTAGTATAGGTACTTTGAAAAATGTGTCGGACCAAGAAGGGCTTCAAAAAGTGTTTGAGAAAAAGTTAAAGTTTGAGATTATTTAAAACGGGTTTATTTCTTGAAAAAAGCACTTGTCTCTATCTGGGCTTATGTCCCAAACCCATATAAGTACTTATTGCTTGGTGCGGTTCCGGCTTAAAATAAACGCCTTTTAATTTTTAATAAGTGACTAAAAATAAGCACTCCCAGAGTCCCAGTCGAGGGTTTATATCAAATGAACTTGTCACTTGTCAGCACCATGTGTACTCTTGTTATTGAGAATTGGTGCTTGAGAACAAACGAGTCATTTACAGATTTTAGTGGCTGTTTCCTCTATACTTCTGGTATCTTTTCTTTCCTGTCTGTTTTATTTTTTATTTGCCTTTTCAATTCATGCTTAGCTTGGAATGAGTTGTCTTTGCAAGAATCCACGGTCTCCAATTTAGATTGATTTGAAAAACAGGTTGGTTCTGCTTTATGGGTTTAGGAATAATTTGACTTTGCATGAAACATAAATAGAAAGGCAAAGGTTGTTTCATTACAAATTTACGCTCCAATAGCAATCCCACAAATAACATAAGTGATAAGGTATTGCTAGGTTGTAGACTCAGATTCTCTAAACCAACCTCAACTAGTTTTGTCAAAAAAAAAAAAAAAAAGCAGTAGAGGTGGAGATAGTTAAATTAATAACATGTAAGAACAGTTGGGTATTAATTGAACAAGTCTGAGGAATTATAATTCAATAGAGTAGTGGTGGTGCAGCAGCACTCCAATTTCCAAGCAAGGGGGGCTCCAGGCTCCAGTCCAGGTTGGCCCACACCAACTCATCAAGTAGATTGGGCTTTGTAATTCAGTGATGGTAGGCCAATTGCCAAGCTGGTGGAGGAGACGACACAATTCAGGGATCAGAAGCAATCAATCTTGGCGATTATCGTCTGACCTTTTGTTTTGTACATGGAACTACTTATGCAACCTCCAACATGTAATCATGTAATGAAATGGAATCACTCCCAACTCCCAACTCCCAACTGGGTTGATTCCCCCCGGCACATGGATTCGTACCACCCACAACTGGCACTACCACCCACACTGGACTGGCGTAGCATCTAGAGTCTGCACCAACTTAAAATATATCCTATAATTGTTAAATTCTACGGCCATACTTTTTGTTTGTTTTTTTTTTTTTTTTTGAATTTAAAGTTGGAAGTTGGAACACACATTCTCTCACGAATAGTAAAAACATTTTCATATTCACTGCAACTTACAGGGCAGTCACCATGGAAGTTGGTTGTGCCAAGGATCCGAATCATGACTAGAGGTCACTGGGGGCCTAGGTCCAGTTTAGTTTTGTCAACCCATATTAATGGGCCGTGTTTTGGATTGGGTGACGGACGCTTTCTTGATGGGTGAGTTGTTTCAATTAGCCACTCACCCAATGCCAATATTCAGACTTTTCTTGCCACCTAAGCTTTTTGATGTTCAGTTTCAATCAAGTGGTTAATGCTTTACGGTTTCATTTGACTTTGTCACCAATGAAAGTGGTCCAAGTAATAGTAGTAGTAGTAGTAGTGATCTGTCCGGAATGATGAATTGTGCAAACTGCTCTAGCCTCTACCTCTACGCTTTGTACTCTAGCCGGCCGGTTGCCTCCACTACCGACCATATCCTTATGGTTATGGGCCCCCACGCCCAAGTGCTTATTCTCTTGTTCTGCTTCTGCTCGATCATCTTCCATCTGCATATATACAAAATCATCAAAACTATGTCTAATTAATCTTCTGGTTCTGGGTCCATATTTAGACTTTTCATACAAAATTCCCAAATCAAAGTTAAGGTTGCAATTGGTCTGTAGTTTAGTTATAGGACTCATCCATTGATTTATATATATACTGGAATGCGACTTGACTTTGCAGGAACAACAAATGTCAATATGTAACTGAGACCTTAGATAACTTTATTTGACAAACGAGTCATAAGAGGTATCATACCATTTAGGGTCCGGATGTAGTATGCACGTTAGTTAAGCATAATAAATGAGCAAGTAATAGCTGTGTGACATGTCCCAATTAATGTGTCTTTTATCCAAACGTTTTCGTTCTATTAGATACAAATGATCCATTATTTTGTTATCTTTGTCAAAATAATTAAAAATAAAAACAATAAAAAAAGAAAACCTAAACGTGTTGGGAATTGAGACTCATTTATGTTTTCCTTTTTCATTATTTTTTATTTTTAATTATTTTGACAAAAATAACAAAATAATAGATAATTTCTGTCTAGCGGAGCAAAAGTGTTTGGATAAAAGACACATTAACTGGGACATGTGTCATACAGCTATTACGTGCTCACTCATTGTGTTTACCTAACATGCCTACTACATCTGGACCCTACTACATCGGCACATCCATCCCCTATGACTGAGTAGGGTCCAGCTTCACAAACTTTGGAAACCAATCATTATTATTGGGTCCAGTTAGGGTCCATAAACATAAAACTCAATACTTAGTATAGAACATGCATATAAGGTGGGAGATGGTAAACGTAAATCTACTTTTCTTTCTTCTTTTACATTTGACTTCATGTAACAACAAATTTTATTGCTAGCTCCATCTCAATGGTATAGTGTAAAAATTTCTAAATACCCAAACAAGAACAAATTATTTGGCAGGTCCGGGTCTGAACCGTCTGTGTCATACTAGAACCCAGAGCTGCCATCCAATACCCGGAGTTGTGGTCTGGGACATACATGAGTGTTAATTGTATTCTAGCAAGAAGGTTAACAGCATTATTCACCCAAACAGGAAGAAGGAATTTACAAAGACGGGCGGGCCCAGTGAGAAAACAACTGTATGTAGTGTTTGGATGGCGTGTTTCAGTGAGTTACGATGCCAATGTCCCGTGGGCTAGCTGTGGCTGTGGCTGTGGCTGTGGCTCCATTGGCAGAGAGAGAGAGAGACACCGACCCGTCAAGAGAAAAAGGGGGCCCTCTTGGCTCTTGGAAGCCAGCATGCACATGGTTGCCATCGGGTTAAGGGTCCGGGTCCGGCCAAGCCGGCCCGTCCTGTCATCTTTGCCTCCCCAACTAATGAGTCGACCGTCGAATCGAGTGTTCTGGTGAGCGCTCAAGCGGGGGACAAAACAATCTACTATTCGCTAAAATGCACAATGCACACGGCTTATTTTGCAATCCATGTAACCAAATGGTTTGGGGGTTCAACTATGGGTTGGCTTTATCAATCCATGTAACCAAATGGGCTCTAAGGCTCTAGCACAACTTATTATCAAGAAACGGTTTCTACTTTCTACATTGAGAGATTGAATTTGAATGCATCCCAATCTACTGCACAGAATCCTTTCAACAAAATGATGAACAAGGGAGGTTTCAATTTCATTGAGAAAAAGAAAAGGTTAATCGGGAGGGATGCTGATTGATCGGTGGATGATGGAAGTAGAGAATGGGGTCCATAGTGTAGAGGAAGATAGATATAGAGAGAGAGAGAGAGATCGGACGTGGGAAAGAAATATGTGAAATCCAGCTCATTGCCCGCAAAGAGTGATACGACCCCACGTGGAGAGGACTGCCAGCCAGTTCACGGTGTCCCAGATAGGGCAGAAGGCAGAGGGGTCATAAAACTAGGGGGGTCCCCGTCCCCCATAGCTGTCTCATCGTCCCTAACGCTGTCTGTCTGTCAACAAAGAAAGCTAAGAAGATAATGACCGCGTGTGCTTGTGTTTACACATGTGGGTTTCATCCACATGATCACCTTCACCTTCACCACTATTACCATTATTATTATTATTATTATACCTTATTGTTGTATAATCAGTTATCACTTCACTTGATCACTTCTGCATTTGCCTTTGGATTGGCATCCTTGCTGGGCCCATCAGTTACCTGCACTCCAATCTTAACCTACAACTGTGGTTGGGCTCATACTCAGTGAATCATTTGCTTCTTTGCAGGTTGCAGCAGAAAAAGGAAAAAAAAAAAGCACCGCACGACTCCTTATTGATAGGAGACTTTACAGCTTGGAAATAACAAAGATGCAAATTTGCTGCATATATATCCCATCTCCCGAGTTGGGTCATGGACTCATTGATGATCTGATGAGAATCCTTGCAAAATCCTCCCCACCCCCAAAGAGTTTGGGCGTTTGATCCATTAGATTTCTAATGGGGGGTGATGGGTGAGGTTATGGACAAATTAATGGTCAGTTGGTCACCTTTAGTCAGTCACACACACACACACCTGACACCACTTCAATTTTAATTTTAATTAAAAAAAACTACGAAGCTCTAATTAATAAAATGATTCATTGTGGAATCATTCCATGGATATAATATATATCGGCATATGTATACAGTTGGAACACCCTGGTTTTTTGCTAAAATCATCACCAAGCKATCCGGCCTCGAATGCACATGATTTCCAATCCCGGCCGGATGACTTGGTGGATGATTCATAATCAATTTTGATTGGATAATCCCAACTGTCTTCACCAATTGTTTAAAGGTTTGTGCTTGATTAATTTAAGAGGCAAACCTATGATTACAAGTTTGGCAACGTGATGTCATGTGAGAATGTTTGACAAGCATTCCCCAAAAAGTCCATGCTTATCTGTGGCTTCACATTTCAAAGAAAGAGATTACTGGATTTTTTTACTAGATTAACTATGTGCCCCAAATAGGACAATATAATGAAACTGGCTTCTCATCTCTACCTACAGAGACTACAGTTTTGGTTGATAATCTCCATTGATTCTCTACACCATAAACTACACAGCTCAACTAGTAAACCCAACTCATTTATGGGCCATACCCACCGCAGTTCATCCACCTGCATCTATGATGTACGATCAATTACATCATCTCAAATTTTCATGGCCATTCAAACTAATGCAACAGATCACATGTTTTGTTGGAATTATCAGAGCATTTATTTGGAGCTGTGCGGGAAACAGAAAAAGGGAGGCTATTTCCTTGATCTTGACCCGACTGACCTATCCCGATGACCCCTTCTGGTTGGTTATTTTATGGTAATCGTTAATTGGTCTACATACCTTTTTCCTATTTACAAATGGGTTTCAGCCAGGTTTACCCTTTTCAGCCCAAACAAGGCTTAAACAGTTGGACCAACTCTACCGGATCTGTCTTTACATTTCCCAGTTAGTGGACTATCTTATTCAGGTTATGGAGACGGGACGACGCTTATCTGAACAGAATCTGACCCGGCCTGAACCCAACCCGCACAAAACTCTGCACCCCCTAAAGAGGCAACCCTTTGATTGGACGGTGTAGCTCCTCTCTCTCTAAGTATGGACCCCTGGTTTGGGATACAAAGGGTTTATAATAGGAGGATGACTAGGTGGTGTGGTAACTCTATCACCTTGCTTTAAGTAAATCTGGTCCCACTATACAATAAGTTGTATGTTGTTTTCAATTGGACGCATTTGATTTGTGTCCCCAATCCCCATGTAGGAAATTTTCGCCATAGATGAATCATGGGTCCAAATCAAATAACCTCAACTATATAATCCAAAGCTGAAATCTTGCCATGAGATTTCTCACTTCTTTAACCTCGAATGAAGTCCGTTTTATTGTACAGCTCAGATTAATGCTTGTAAAGATAAAATAGGTATAGGAGAGAGCATTGGGTGTTATGGTGGTTATGAACTTAGGCAAAATAAAAAACAACAGGAAGAAATACACAAAGAGAGGGAGAGAGAGAGAGAGAGAGGGAGGGAGGGAATAACGAATCAATGAATATAGTGGTGGAGGGGTATATTAATGCGGAGACAGGGAGGACAGACGCGAGTGCGTAGTCGCGCAGCTGTCATTCGACATCCAAACCACCCCTTCTCAGAGACAGCAAATAAGCGTTAGCAGCTGTCGGACCCCCTTTTCCTTGCTCACAATCTCCACCACCCCTTTCCCTTTCTTCTTCTTCTTTCTTTTTTCAGCCTTCTCTCCTCTTAATTGTATTTCACAGTTCAAATCCCCCTTTTGTTTCAAGGTTGGAACCTTGCAGCATCAACAGCACAAACAACCTCTCTACCAGCACCGGCAGCATCAAGACCACCACAGGAAGTCAGGAACAACACTTTTACAACCAGCTAGAATAGAAGAACCCTGTCTCTATTGGTCTCTCAATGTTGCCTTCTTTGATGTAGAGAGGAATGGAGGGAGAGACAAACAAAGAAGAAGAGGAGAAGAAGAAAAAGAGGTGGAAGAAAAGAAGCAACTCATCAATAATCTTTGTCAACTYCGAGAGGGGTATATATTGAGAGAGAGAGAGAGGGGAGGGGAAACAGAAAAGAGAATTCATGCATGAAGAGAAAGACCCATTGGTTGTTTTGATGATTCATTAGAGGTCATGGCTTATCAGCACTATCGATCGCAATTCGGAGATACCACTTTCACCAAGGTGTTCGTTGGAGGGTTAGCCTGGGAGACGCCAACCGAAGAGATGCGTAGATACTTCCAACAGTTTGGAGAGATACTTGAAGCCGTTATCATCACCGACAAGAATACCGGCAGGTCTAAAGGATACGGCTTTGTGAGTCCTTTGTTTCCTCTTTACATTTGATCTCTTGGGTTACTTTTCGTAAAACACAAGACGTTGTTGTTTTGTTCTTCTTTTGGTGTTAAATATTGTCGACGATTTGATCATTTGAGTAACGTATATACAATATGAAAGAAAGGATTTATTGATGGAGCAGGTGACGTTTCGTGATCCAGAGTCGGCAAGGAGGGCTTGTCTTGAACCGAACCCTGTGATCGATGGGAGAAGGGCCAATTGTAACATTGCTTCTTTAGGTCGCCCTCGAATTTCCCCACCGAGAGGTAGATTTTTCATTGTTGTTATGATTTATTGAAATTCGCTTTAATGAATAATATTCACTTTTACGCTGTGTACGTCTTCTGTTATGCAGGGAGAAATCAAGGAGGAAGCCCCTATCATGGAGTTGGAGGAGGACATTTGGGTGCACCACCTTACAACAGAGCTGCAGGACCACTAGTTCCTCCACTTCCTCCGCCGCCACCACCACCGCCTCCTCCTCCTCCTCCTCCGGTCATRTATCCGACTTACGGGTTAGTTATTTGTACCCAGGCTACAAACGAAGCAAACTTGTCCATGAATCCATCCGTATACTCTTTTCTCTGTAATGAACGTGGTGACTGGTGATAGCTTGTGTCTTGTGGTTGTGGCCTGTGGGGGGTGAATGCAACCGGGTTGTAAATTTTGAGAGAACCAATCCAAAGTCGTTAGATGCCACCACCACCGCCTCCTCCTCCTCCTCCTCCGGTCATATATCCGACTTACGGGTTAGTTAYTTGTACCCAGGCTACAAACGAAGCAAACTTGTCCATGAATCCATCCGTATACTCTTTTCTCTGTAATGAACGTGGTGACTGGTGATAGCTTGTGTCTTGTGGTTGTGGCTTGTGGGGGGTGAATGCAACCAGGTTGTAAATTTTGAGAGAACCAATCCAAAGTCGTTAGATGCCACGAGGTCTGCCGGACTCACGTGACACTTCCCCAGATATACCATTATCTTAGGACCCACCAGTCAGAAGTATTCCAATCAGACAGTCACCAGATTGCCATGGTCACGTGGTGGCCGGCCTCATTGGATAGTTAGTTCTCTGCCCCAGGAGCAATTAATCAATCTGTCTACAAGGAGAGAGAAGAGATTGAGCCAAACTTGTGTCTTTTTTCGGTTCTCTGAAATAAATTAAATTATTAAATAGGGCGGTCAACTTGCAGCTTGTTACTGAATACCAATTCATGACGAGTCGCGTKCTGTCACCTGTGGTGACATAAAGACGGCTTGACAACCGTGTAGTTGGAATCCTTGAATAGCAAGTGAGTAGAGTGACTACTTGTTACTGATCGCGATCGGGAATTCAGGATTCGGGATCATAGCCGCAGACCGCAAAAGCTGTTGGATCTGGATTTGATCCATARAATAGAATCACCCAGTTCCAGTGTGGGGTGTAAAAAAAGTTAAAATAAAGTTCCAATCCAACAGTTTTGACCAAAGCCCTATAGGCTGTAGGCCAGCCCAAGCTTCTTTCACTTTTCCATGGTGAGCCTGGATCGATCCATTCAGATACGATGGGTGGGCATGAATTTGCTCGGAGCCCCAAAAACACAGTGATCGTATGATTTTTGTGGTCCACATCATATAAGTTAACCTCCTATTTTGGGACAATCCGTCAAAGTCATTCCCTGTGCTGTCATATTTGTTGCTGTACACTGTGGCTGTGTACGCAGTTTCAGTGTTCAGTGGTGGGACCCGCGTCAGGTCCCACCCTACCCTACTACTACTCCACGGTACCGTAGGTAACATGTTAGCAGTCCTTTTAGTTCCAAAGTCCAAACCAAACATAAGCTTAATCAATTTATCTAATCTAACGATGTCATTATGTTATTAATTAAACGGTTTAATTTGCAGGTACGCTACCTACACGTCGGATTACGGATACCACCACCAAGTTAGTGCCTCATCATTTAAAATTTTAATTTAAATTATTATATTTAGGCGTTAGTAGTAATGTATAGTTGTTGTTTTGTCTGTTAATTTCTTATATTTTATTAAACAAAATAATAATAATAATAATAATGGTGGGCATACTGGGCTGGGCAGAGCATGTACAACCCACATTYACAAACGCAGTATTACCATCAAGTTTACGGGACGTCGCCGTCGACAATTGGTTCTTCCTTCTATTACGGCTACGCACTGCAACCTTCTGCTTCCAGGGGCCCAACCTTTGCCGGTCCCTCCCAGTCCCAGTCGCATCGTATCCAGGGACCCCCTTATCTCCATTATCCTACGCAGGGAGATAGGTCCTTTGCCGGCAACTTTCCACCGCCTCCACCACCACCACAGCTACAGCTACCGCCGAGGCCAACCCTACCCGTATCATCATCATCAACCTCCGGTAAGTAACTTCTCTCTTTCTCTCTCTTTCTATATATATATAGAATGTATAGTTCCACTTGCACATGTCCAGCCCGGTACACTCCGGCCGGGGGTACGTACAGCCACTGAGCCAGTGTGAGGAGGCACAGGGGCAGGGCGGACCACGAGAGATGAGCAAAGCCAATTTTCCCATCTGGGGGGGGGAAGTCAGTGATGCCAGAGAGGCAGGGAAGAAAGTGTACTGAACATGTGGTTTCGTCCAAAAACCAACACGTCATCATGACCTCACTCGTACTCTTCTTGCTATATAATTTTTTTTTTCTTTCTTTTAACGACTTAAAAAGATAGAAAAGTTGTGCATGACAGTCCTCTTGTTTAAGCCCACTAGTGTTCTACTCTTTTGCCCTCCTCAACCCTAAAATCATCATCAATAATAGACCCCTAAAATAATGTGCGGAACCGAATCTATGATAAGTGATGGTTGCCTTATTCCAGATGGCGACTTCATCCCTATCTATCTATCTGCATCCATTATTTATTTATTAGGTACTAATCAAAATTACACCACCCATCATCTGTCTGTGCCCACTTACATTATCCATTCTATTAAAAAAAAACCCAAGTAACTCGGATTCGACTCGGAAGACCATGGACTCATTATCCAGTCCAGCCTGACTCGACCCAAAATTCTATTAACCCAGATGATCGAGTTCCCTGTTAACTCACTCAATTTTAAAACATTGCTATAAACAATTCCTCAACATGAATTAAGAGGAACTTGATTTTGAGGTTAAATTTGTTTGGTGGCAACAATGTATATTGAATTAATAATGTAACTACACAAGTCCAAGGAACCCTACCTTTAAAATTGGGTGGGTCAAAGGGTAGGTACGTCGTCTTCATGGATCTAGTGCTTACGTAACGTACTGATGATGAGGAGACCCTGGCTGTGAGTGTGTGCATTAGGGCCTGCCGCTATGCATGACCCAGAAATTGTTGACGGGGTTGAATCAAGTCACTGAGTTTTCTCTCTAGAGTCTAGATGACCTGACACTGTTTCTGCCACGTTGATGATATTCAATTTAGGCAGTTCATCAGAAAGGGGAGCCTATGGTTCAGACATGTGTTTCACTCCATCTAGAACCTGTGCGGTACATAAATTTGCACACTACGTAAGTAGTTTTTTTTTTTTAATGAAAAATATGTATTCTGGTTTGGCTCAGTAAGCTCTTCAAACTCAGGCTGGGCTTGGCTAACTCGACTAATTAGTTCACTTTAATTTATATTGCGTACTACTATGCCTAACTTGTGAAATTGTCAACAAGTCGAAAAGTGACAATCTAGAAAGTTAAAAGAAAGAGGAAACCAATAACAATAATAATAATTCTGTGCAGTTGCACTTTGGTTTGTGCTCCAAAATTGAATTTTTTTAGGTGATCTATAGTGCAAAATTGACATCTTTTGGTTTGTTTGTGCCATTGTGTGTCATGTTAGGCTTGGATTATGGTACTTCAAGCTATAGTTCATCTTCTTGGACTTTTGATTAAATATTTTAGATGTGTAAATCTACGGCTTCTATCTAATCTAATCTAATCTAATCTAGGTTCATGGATTCCATTATCGGGCCCCAACTATACACACTGACTGAATTTGGGTCTGGGTCAGGGCCATCACCCTTGGCTGCAAAATAGCTTCCACTCACACTCTGTAAAGGGGTGTTCCACTGATGTGTATGATCTTGGTTTTTCAAAAAAAAAAAAAAACAACAACTGCAATATCATCAAAATCATATTGTTTTTGCTCATGGTGACAAGTTTGTTTTTGTTTTGAAAAACAAAACCATTCACATTAATGAACATCCCCTAAGATATAAACTAAATCTATTCTACATAATTTAGGGCTTGTAGTTAAAATGTGACTTTACATTGTGGGTCACTGGGTCTAATATCTCTAACCTTGAAAAAGGCAAGTCGCCAACACCAATCTGGCTGATATCTCTGACACAGTTATCCAAACATTGGCCTTAATGGGATCTGTAAATCCTAATCAGTTGTTCATTTATGTACCCACATGGGAACTTATCATCTCTCTTTTGTTGGGAGAGTGTAGCCTAATTGGCCAAGAAATGCTCAACCTTAGGGTGGGCTTAGGATCCATGCCTAGCCTTGGCGAGAAATAAAATGAAAATTATATTATGGGCATGTTTTTGCCAATCATAGAAAACACAATGTGAATTGGGTAATGTAAATCATCCATCTGTTGTCCTTTTCCTTTTTAATGGCCAACCAGAAAAAGGTATTCCGTTGATTTAATACTTGTTAGAGTAAGTGGACTCAATCCATTTTGAAAGTACTAGAGATGGCTATCAACATTTCTTTACACATTTATGCTAACAACATGCAACATCGTTTTTGTTTTGTATCAGAGACACAGACTACCCAACAAGCTTCACAAACCTCTTCAGCGACTGGAGTTGAGGCCTCTAGCTTGGAGAGTCCAAACACCTAAGTGAACTCAAGGGAATATAAGCATGATTTAGCGAATGGGTTCAATTTGTATAATCTTGASGAGCTTCTGATTTTCATCTCCACCACATTCGTTTTTTTTTCTTCTGTCCTATGTGGAAAGAAGCTGCAGCTTTGGATGCGAGAGAGCATTGTTTAAGTGCTGTAGCAGCCAAAAGTGGACAGTAACCTGAACTGCCTTGATTATTTTTCCTCCCACATTTGGGTTTTTTTTTTTTTTAATTCTTCTTCAATGATCAATCATCTTTCATAAATGTACGCACAGAAAGAGGAATGGTGCATCCCTCAATAAGGACAATTTCATACCACCCCGCCCATATTCAACTTCTTATTTCCATTTCGGTAGAAGTTATGTGTGCATTGCATCTGCCATCTGACTAGGGCTATGTGCAAATTAAACCTCATCAAATGTCAATATTCGCCCCTTTCGATTGCATCCTTGTGAGCATGGTTGGCAATTGGGGTGAATTGTTTATGGGTTTCCTGAAACTTTAGATTATTTGTTTTTGTAATTGTGCATTTGAAAAGTTCATAAAGATACTGCACAGAACAAAAGGTGGGTCAAATAATTAATATGTGTAGGGGTAAGCTAAGCATAGTCTTTCATCAGGTTAACCCGAAAAAGTTGGTCAGGCTAGCCTGGTGTGGGCGCTTCGTATTCATCACCAGGGGAGATGATGATTTGAATCATATGTACGTAAGGCAACAATTTGACAAGATATGAAATGCTTCAATTCAGTCTATCCCGACCCTAGATTTCAGGATAGTTTGAGTTTCTTGGGAAATGACAATAGCTAATGAAAAAGTAAATACGTAACGTAGTAGGGCATATATCCAATGAGATGGAGCATGCTCTTAGGATCATATCAATCTTTCTGTGTGTGGGTGTGTGTCGCAAGTGTAAAAAGGGCGGGGAAGGTAACAGGCGAAGAAGATTTGTGGTAGAATTTGGTAATTAATATTGCTTGTGGTTTAGGTTTTATGATCAAGGAGGTTAGAACATTTAATTGGTTCTGTACGTGGAGTTTTTAAGGCAAAACTTATGATAAATCTAGTGAGGGAAGGCAGGCTTGATCCGGGTTCCGATTGAAAACTATCAAGAAAACAGCAGATAGATAGATAGATATAGATATAGATATAGATATAGATATTTAATTTTATTGGCGTTGCAATTACGTAATGTAGAGGCCAATTAAACGGATTTAAGATGAAGGACAGCCTGGACCATCCCATGAGATTGATGTTTAATATCATGACAAAGGATACAGTTGGTGGCTTACATTATGACCCATATATCCAAGAAGAGACACATCAATTGAGTGGTTAAGATTTAATATGCCCATTAGTTTATACTTTAAATTGGATGAGTACTAGAGAAAAATAATAGAAAGGTTTGTGGAAACAGGACGTTCTTTATATATGACAGATTTTAATGGTGTAAACGGGCCCCTATACTTATTAATATAATCAAACTACCTCCTCATCAAATTCATGAGGTGAGAGAGTCCTAACTAATCAAAAAGGGAAAGCAAGATGTGCAGTACTGGACAGTGGACGTAAATTTTCGTGTTCTAGCCTAGGATCGACGTCGGTCGAGACATGAAATAGAGATAGCCAGATGGGCCAATAAGTTGTCGTTAGTGCCCACTTTTCAGCTGGATTACGTTGCCACAGATAAAAGACAATTTAAAAGGTGGGAGTGGGACGACATCGACAACAATAACATCTGATGAGTGATGCATCGGTACTCATCTATATATATGGGCTTGCCGCTGCTACGGGTGTCCACTGCCCAAGTTTCGGTTGGTTCTGGGGGTATCGCTTTTTTCATTTCTTCAAACTGAAATTGAATCGGTATCACCAGTTAACCAATCCGCTGGTTTTGGTTTTTGATCGATTCGATTATTCCGTTTTTTTATTTTTTATATTTATAATATATAATATTATATTATAAATAATAAATGATATATAATATATTATAAATATTTTAAAAATATATAAATATATAATATATAGAAAATATGTGACATATATTATATTAATAAATGAATTCATTACCGATTTTCTTGTATATTAATAAAAAATCAAACCAATCCTTCAATTTTTCAGAAATTCCAAATCAAAACCGAACCGATTGATTCGGTTTTTCATGGACACACTTAGCAGCGACGTAGAGCTTAATTATCTATGCAAATTCCAGTTAATTTGTGTAATACTTGTACGCCAAGGATTCCCCTCTGTCATAACATGAAAACCACAGCTATCACTTAAATGAAATTCCCAAAAGGAGTAAGGTAGAACGAGCAGGATATATTAAAGACACCGTTTAACAAAGGTCATTGTTGTTCAACCAACGCATATATTCCCCAGTGACACCGGCCTTGTTTCACTGCCATCTTTAATTCACGCAAATACATATATGCCGAGATTTGGAGACAAGCGTAGTCTGTGAAGAGTAGTGTAGATAGAGATACATAAGATCAGAATTAAAGTATTAAATATGGGGTCTTCTGTAGATTGTCGTGATGACTCAAATCCTGTGACTTGTTCTTTTGCTAAGGATATTGAGTCTTATGCTCTTTATCAGGATACAAATAATACAATCCAAAACTCTGTGGAGCCTCTACCATTACTCAGCTGCTTGCTTCGGCCGGCCACACCCACACTAGCAGTAGATGAAAATCATGAGACGGCCGGCAATGAAGACGGGAAAAACGTCACCGTAGCATTACACTTACACATTGGGCTGCCTAATAGTTCGAATTGCTCCACGTACACGAAACAAAACGATATGATGAGAGACAAAAATGCTGTGGATACCCAGTATTGGATACCGACTCCTGCACAGATACTCATGGGCTACACCTATTTTTCGTGTCACCTCTGCAAGAAAACCTTCAACCGCTACAACAACCTTCAGGTTGGTTAATTATATTGTTAACTTGTTAATTATTTCATCTTCCTGTCTTTGATTTGATCCTCTTATCATCAGCTGGGTCATTCGAATTCATGGATGTTAGTTGTGACAGATGCACATGTGGGGACATGGGTCGCAGTATCGTAAAGGAGCAGAGTCACTGAGGGGAGCTTATCAGCCCAGAGGCAGAGGCAGCATGTTGAGTATCCCTTGCTACTGCTGTGCAGAGGGATGCAAAAATAACATAAGTTACCCAAAGGGAAAGCCCCTCAAAGGCTTCAGAACGTTGCAAACCCACTATAAGAGGAAGCACGGGATGAAACCCTTTATGTGTCGCAAGTGTGGCAAATCCTTGGCTGTCAAAGGTGACTGGAGAACCCATGAGAAGAATTGTGGCAAGCTTTGGCTTTGTGTTTGTGGTTCTGATTTTAAACACAAGAGGTCGCTCAAGGATCACATCAGAGCATTTGGCTCCGGTCATGAGCCTTTTCCTACTTCATCAATTGGTGATGCTCTGTTGAATAAAACCTTTACCCGTACTTGATCATTGATTTCAATTAAATAATGATATGAGGTTTCTCTAGCTAGTAATTAATCTACTACTTAGACTCATTAGCTAGCTATATTCTAGTAAGGCAGACCTATTCTAGCCGCGATTCTCAAGCTATATTATATAAATTAATTAGAATGGTAAAAGCTCTTTCATCATTGTATTATATTTATGATGACAAGCTATCAATCAATTAAAGGTGGTGAATATTACTAGAACTTGATCGAACGAGTCTTTTTTCTGCTGAGGCTGTGGGTGGTGTATTTCAGTGTGAACAATGATTTTACAGAATGTTTGTGTGCTGCTAGAAATGGAATTATATATATATATATAGTTTGGTTATAGTTAATAGTTAATTATTTCACGTGCAGTACGCACTGATTGTTGATATATATTTGATAAAAATAATTGAACGATACTTACCATTCAAAAGGAATCCACTCATTCCCAGTTTTCTGTGCTTAAGCGTTGAATTGATTTATATATATGATGAAGCTGTCGACTCAAATGTGTTATTATAAAATTAAGTAAATGTCATGACTCCATGTGAAACATCATAAAAATGATTTATGAGTTTTGACAAAAAAAAAAAAAGTTCGATATGGGCACACCACAGGTAATTTATTTGGAGTGGGGCTGCAAATGGATGCAAGTAAGGTAAACTCAAATTTGATTTGTAAGTATTCGAAATTGAGTAGGAGCTTATTTGGATAACTTTCTAAAAAAATTCATTTTAAATGATGTAGGATGTAAAATGAATTATTGTTTACAAATAAATTTTCACTTTTTTTTTGAAGAAATAAATAAATTTTGACTTAATCTCTTAAACTAAATAACAAATTTATATATCAGATAAGAAATTAATCTAATATATAACGGGTGTCAAAACAGAATTTATCAGAATATTGATCACAGGGCAATCATTTTTTAGTATATACATATATTTATGAATCATCGATGTGATGTGCCCTATATTTTGATAAAAGAAGTCGGCTTAGAACCTGATGAACCATTACTCTTTGCCAAGTGTGAAATTCCACCTTAATATCCCATTGATTGATTGATTTACAAAACTATTTTTTTTTTTTTTTCTTCTAAAGACATGCTTAGGTGCTTGTCATTAAGGCTGCTGTATGTGGTTGCAATACAAATTTCATTTATACTGGTTTAGATATATGAGAGTGCAAAAGGGCTGAGTGTAAATTCTAATTTATTTTTGCTTTAAATTTGATTTGATTTTATTTGTTTGTGATAAATAAGATGAGGTGACCTCCAATTTAAATGAAATAGAATAGAGGTAAGTGGAGGATTGTCTGTTTAAGTTTAAAGTATATATGTTGCAAGTTTCTCTGGTCTTCACTTTATTTATTTATATTTGCTTCATCTGTAGTCTCACTTTAATAATATTAGAAATAAGAGAAATAGGAGGTGAAGGTGGTGCAAATATTACATCATTTTTTGAGATGAAAAAATTTGCACAAAAGATTTAGTATGTCAAAAAAACTTGTTCCGGATAGGAATGCATATCATAATTAAACAAACAAACATAAGCAAAGATTAACTGCTTACTGCAACCAAAAGCAGTCTAAAGAAAGAAAGAAAGAAAAAAAAATCCTGAAATGTGTTTTCTCTCCAAAAGAAAAAAAAAATGCCAAATCCGAAGGTAATATCAATCTGTGAATCCGCTCACCAGTCACTGTTTATTCTGTTTTGTTGGTAGCTCCATCCAATGGATCCGGATCTCCTAGAAACAAAATCATTTTTGGGTGATTAAATAAAACATTTTATTAACTAAGTTCRGAATCACCACATATTGTCGTAATCATTCAGGAGGATTTAGGCCATGTTTGGTTTAATTTTCATTCTTTCTCATTCTTACCCAAGATGAAATTTCAAAATAGAAAAGAATAGATAAAAATAAGTAGAATGAGAAAATATTGCTATGAACCGAGCATTTTTTTCCTAAAAATGATTTCTTTTTAGATTGATAAGTGTCCTATGTTGCTCATTTTCATTCTTAAAAAAAAAAAATTGTCGATATTCACAAACCGCCAGCCTAGGTCTTCAATAGTCAATGTTTACCAATTGGCATAGATGTTTTGTAAAAGTACTACCACAAAAGTGCTTTTATAAAAATATTTTCATAAAAGTGATTTTATAAAAGTGCTTTTGTAAAAGTACTTTCATAAAAGTGCTTTCATAAAAGTGCTTTCATAAAAGTAGTTTCATAAAAGTAATTTTGTAAAAGCGCTTTTATAAAAATGAATTTGTAAAACTACTTCCATAAAAGTGCTTTTATAAAAGTAATTTCATAAAAATGCTTTTATAAAAGTAATTTCATAAAAATGCTTTTATAAAAGTAATTTCATAAAAGTGATTTTTGTAAAAGTGCTTTCATAAAAGTACTTCCATAAGTGCTTTTTATAAAAGTACATTCGTAAAAGTTCTTTTGTAAAAGTACAAGGTGCTTTTTATAAAAGTACTTTCATAAAAGTGTTTATAGAAAAGTTCTTTAATAAAAGTGCTTTAGTAAAGTACTTTTATAAAAGTTCTTCCATAAAAGTACTTACATAAAAGTGCTTTCGTAAAAGTACTTCTGTAAAAGTATTTTTATAAAAGTGCTTTAATAAAAGTGCCTTCGTAAAAGTACTTCTATAAAAGTGCATTCATAAAAGTACTTCCCTAAAAGTGCTTTTTATAAAAGTACTTTCATAGAAGTGCTTTCGTAAGAGTACATGCATAAAAGTGCTTTTATATAAAAGTACTTTCATAAAAGTGCTTTCGTAAAAATGCTTTCATAAGTGTTTTCATGTAAAAGTAGTTTATAAAAATGCTTTTGTAAAAATACTTTTGTAAAAGTGCTTTCATAAAAGTAAACATTTTTTACAATAGTTTTATCTGTAGAGTTTCCTCAGAATGAAATGAGCAAGATGGGGAATGATTTTTCATTCTAATAAGAATGTGGTCATTGGCAAGAATTTTGTAAACAAACACTCTAATGTTATTCATTCTTGCCCATTCTTGCTTAGAATGAACAAGAATTAAGAGAACGAGGGCCCAGAGCAGTAAACCAAACATGGCTTTAGTCACCGGACTTTTTTGGGTAAATAAAATTTCATTACTGGCAAAGATACTATGAGAAACATTTTCCTTCAAACCAAACATAGCCTAAAGGAGTGGGCTTTCTCTTACTAGTAGAACCCTATGCGTTCTAAATTGGGCTTTACCCAAAAGAAGGGGTTGGGCTTTTTTCTTAAGATAATCTAACTCTTTTACTTTTTTTTTTTTCTTTGAAATGGAGGTCTTTTTTTTGGGCAAATTTTTTTAAGTACCTTTGAYTTGTTGTTTACATATTGTCTTAAAATACCCTTAATGCTTTTGACAATTGTTATTGCTAAAACGAAATATTGAATTTGTCCTCCATTATTTCTCAAATTTTTAAAATAAAATCCAACGAATAAAAATTTGAAAAATTGTATGATAGTCTGGGTCCATTGGAAGGATGAAGAGGAACTACTTTCCCCTTTCAATCTTCGTTCTAGCCAATGTAAGGCAGACACAGAGTTGACGGGCTGCAAGCTGAAATGCCGAATTCAACAGACAAGTAAATTGTGGTTGGGCCTTTCTCTTAAGATCGATACTACTACTCTTTTAGTTTTTCTTCTTCTTTTTGAAACGGGGTTCTTTTATCCCTTTCAAATGCCAGACGAGATCTCCTTCCTGAAAGCAAAAATCATGTCACACTTTAAGAGCACAGATCCAGTTGTACAGGGAGTATTTTCCATGAATTTAACACAAAATTACGGGAGATTATCAGTGCTCTTCAAAGTTCAAACACACCACACTTACAATGAAGATGCCACTCTTTGGGCATTTGGGTACAGAGCAGGACCGATGGTATAAACTTGAGCAAATTTGGATTGGATTTCTTCCAACATCTGTTGTTCAAAGTCATCAAAAGTGTTTAATATGACGCCCTTGGTTCTAATGAAAGATTGGACATCCCTTAGTCTGGTTCCTTTCATCTCGGGTACCCAAATCGATCTCAGTGTCGAAGTATCCATTGGTAAAGCAGCTTTAATTCATCTACAAATAAATATACTGATTGATAAGATGAATACACGCACACACGTCTTTTCAATTTATATATAAACATTGTTAAGTTAATACCCTTTAATGGTACATAACCTCTCTCTACAAGCTCGGCCTAGTGAAGGTAGCTTATAAATACCACATGAACTGGTAGCGAAGAAAACAAACTCTGAAATGCCTTTACTCGTCTGCAGCCTGGAGGTGAAGCTCTTGACCCCACCAGACAGTATGCAAGTGACACGAGGATTATCAGGTGCACAGTTGAACTTCACTATTAGGCTACACAATGGACACAAACACTTCTTTACAATTGGGGATGTCAATGGTCTACTTTTTGGGTTGGACTCGTCTAAATTAAAATTAGTTTGGACGGATCAATGAGACATATTGAATTGAACTTGTACATTCCAAATATATATATTGGGTTGGATTGGACCTGATTCATTTATAATGTATTTATATTAAATTGGGTTGGATTAAACCAATATCAATCAATTGATATTAAAAATTAGAATACAGGTGTCAATGGATCAAATTTGAATCAGAACTAATCTAAATTAAAACYAATTTGAACAGAATGAACTGATCCAGATATTGGATTAAATCGGTCTAAAATGGTTTAGAGTATTCATTGGATTGGGCCTGATCCATCTGTAATGGACTCATATTGGACTGGATCGAATTGGACCAAATCTGGTCCTATTGACACCCCTATTTGCAATTGAATCGCACGGTGAAGGAATACTTGGGTTGCATCGTGGTCAAATGGTGGCAGACCATCAGGCATTGTTTTCAAACAGGAAATCAGACAGTCGGTGAAGGGATTTGAGACCTCCAGACCTCATTAGGTGTTGGTAATTGAACTCAGTGTTGATAAAGGTGATGTCGAATCCTTCAAAATGGAGCAACTTTGCACATGGGACATAGGTGACCTTGTGTGGGGAATGTGGGACACCGATGGCATGAGGCTTCTCAGCTGCTAGCGACTCCATATTTATTTATCTATTTATTTCT